GCGTTGGTGAAGGATGCCATGAGTATCAAGGTAAGTCCGAAAGCTATGATTCAAATACTCACCGCCATTGTCCGTCCGTATACATTTTATCTTCACACCAAATTGATTAGTAACAAATGAAACAAACGTTTGAAAGACATTGAAGACATCACTCTTATTTTTCAAAAGATATAACCACGTGTACTTTGTCTTTTCATCGATAAATGTAACAAAATATTTGAAATGATCGCGGGAAAAGCACGGTGCAGTCCAAACATCAGAATGAATTAAATCAAATGCATTATCGTAAACTGTTTGGGAAATCGGAAAAACGGAACGAGAGTGTTTACCAAGTACAACAAGCCTCACAAAGTTCAGAACAAACAATGTTTTTGGTTTGCGGTACAAGTAAATGAAGCACTTTATTATGCGGGTGACCTAAACGATCATGCCATAAGGAGTCAGAAACATGAAACGAGGAAGCAAAGGGAGAGTGCAAGTCTTCTATCACGTAGAGATTGCCTCTCTTTATTCCGTGTCCAAACGAGCTATCCGACTTAGTATCCTGAAAGACCACATCATTAGTGCTGAAAACAACCTTGCAATCGGTATCACCAATGAGTTTAGAAATAGATAAAAGGTTGGTACTAAAATCTGGAATATAATAAGCATAAAATTCCATGCCAAAGAGGTGAAACTTCCCGCGTCCTCGAATAGGAACAAGTTTACCATCCGCCACAGTGACCATGCCGTAAAACGAGTCAAGTGTGTGAAACAGATTACGGTCTTTAAGCATATGATTTGTAGCACCCGAATCAATTACGACATGAGGAGAGGATAAGTTAGAGAAATTACCAGATTCTTTATCCTTTAGTGCAAGGGCAAAGTTCTTGAATTCCTCCTGTGTGAAGGAGATTGTGTGGCCAGCGGTCATTGCTGCAGAGTCGAGAGCGATGAAGGATTGCAACACAGTAGGATCAAGAGATCCTTGCAGGAGAACTAATGCCAACTGGTCCGCTTGATGCCATTTGGCTTGTTTCTCGGCGAGCAATGCCGGATCAGGGGGTGGGGCTGCGTCTTCTGTCGCCGTAATCTGCGATGTCGCACCACGATCAGAATCGATGTGGCTCCACAATCCCTTGCTACTCAGCGTAGCCTTGGCCGCTTTCGACCAATAGAAATAATTTTCTCCATTCAAAGTGATGGGAATCGGTTTCTGGGTAGTTTCCATGAGGATATTGAGAGAGACAAAGGATTGGAAACAGTGGGGAAAAGGTGAGAAACAGAGGCGGAAAAACAGATTTAAAACGAAAGAAAAGATTGACGATCTTGGTGCTCTGATACCATAAAGAAATCTAGAGCAGTGGAGAATGTATCAGATGCGGAAGCTTAGAAAGGAAGAGGAAGAGAACGTGTGTTACTAAGTCTGTAGAAGAAAGAAAGAAATTCTCTGTATATTGACTTGAAATACAGTTTACATTATATAGAACATTTTCTGAAAGAGATAAAAGGAAACTAGAGATACGTATTTGCACATAAGGAATAAAGATGAATTAGTGTTGATACATTCCTGATTTGCTTCAATCACTCAACGTTCCTAAGCTTGGAACCTTCTGAATGAACTTGTGTCTTCTTCTCCTCTGATTCTTGATCTGTTTCTTGTATCCCAAGATGATCTTTGTCTCCTCGCTCATCAACAATGCCAAGAGGAACTCTGTCAAAAGTTCCACATCTCCTTTTCTCACAACAAGATGCAGTGGAATCATACCTATTAACGATTTCAGAAAAAAAAAACACAAATCTTGAAATCAAGATTGTTGGACATCAGAACACGGAAACAAGACAAGAAGTTCAAGAGAAAGTAAGTACCCTCTCTGCCACGGACACGGACAAGACTGGGATCGACTTTGACTAGCTCGAGAGCTAACCGGGTCTGGTCCTTCTCCAGAGCAAGATGCAATGGGCTCAAGCCATTCGTGTTCAGCTTTCTTGCAAAAGAATGTTTCAGATTCATCATCTCCATTGCGAATGCGATCCTCCCGGATTCTACAGCTACGTGGAAGGGAGTGTCGACGAAAGGCACGGCATCGATTTTGTCGAGAATGAACGGATCCTCGTGAATTATCGCATACAATGCGTCGATGTTTCCAGACTGCGCCGCCTCTGTCAATCTCTGATCCATCCCCACTTACAGAACAGAAAATTTTCTAGTAGGAAGATAGAACTATAAGATCTCTCCCGTCTTGTCTGAAGAACATGTGATTGATTTATATTTTGTGTACCAAAATTCGCATTGACTGAGTCAAGATTACAGCCTTATCTCAAACGCGGTGTTGTTGATGAAGAGCAAGTTTTTTTGGTATAAGGTGAATCTATCCATTAATTTAAAATAGTTTACTTACAAAACATCCAGCCACAGCCGTACAAAATAGGATAACCATGTCACAAAATAAGCAAAATGTGAATGTGGTGTGCGTGTTTCTAACGTTGGTGCGTTCGGATACTTTCCGACAAGAAGAACCAGTCTTGCAACGTGGAAAGGCTGCCACCGTTACTTGCCATTGTAACAGAAATCAGGATGTTGCGCAATACTCGATCAATCCGCTGTTGAATCACATCACTCGTCGTTCGCTCCGATCGGAAAATCCTATTGTTCCGTTCCTTCCAGATTTGGTACACTGTAATCTGTAGGATCAATCTGCCTATGAGCGGCTTGCTATGGTTCGTGTCGGTTGCCCGATCAACCATCCATTCCCTGCATTGGAATACACTCATCGGCGGAGATGGCCATATCAAACTCCCCATTGTCAACCATATCCTTGAGCAAATTAAACAACTTGGATTTTTTTTTAGTTTTTAGTTCGGTTCTATTATTCAAATCAATTAATTAATAACTGATTTAACCGAATTCAAACTAATCATAACCGATTAATCTGAACCGAACCGTTCGTCCATTTCTATAAAAAAAAAACTAAAAGAATGTTACTAATAAGGAAATCAAGTTTTAAGTTTTTGGAATTAGAATGTTTTTTACATATAATTCGTATATTTTACATATCTATTTGTATTTTATAGATTCATCATGATTTTTTATTTTCCACTATTCGTTGTGTCGAATGGGTTCTTCGTATAAAAGTAAAAATCAAAGGGTCCATGTGTAGATCCTATTTTTCCTTAGGGGGCCTTTGCTCGATTTCAGTTTAACATTTGGGTCTTTTCTGTAATAATCAGAAATATTGGTTAAAATTGCAAAGTTCTTGAACATTTCGGGGCTCAAACCGAAATCATGGTAAAGCAGGACCAGGTTTTTCACTCGGACAACCTCCGGCGAACGAAGGAGAAGGATCGCAACAGAGATCGTTCATTTATCACGCTAAAGGTTTTTCCTTTTCCATTTTCATTTCGAAATTTATTAATATTTTCAATGGTTTTCATATGCTCGACATCACGATTCTGATCTTTTTCATCAACCCTTTTGGCGGTTTTTTTTTCGTGTCTGTATGGTATGTGTTCGACGAAATGCCCCAGAGAGGTTTTTGGGAAGAGCAAGTTGCAGAGAGCGACTTAAGTAAACCCTACACTGACCCTGTCTTTCAATACACCTTGACCTACTTGTCTCTGTCCACTTTCGAATCATTTTCGCAAATTACGGTTAGAAGATTTGGTTCTAATCAGATTGAGTGGATTTTAGTTGACATCAAGGAAAACAAAGGTAGCAACTTTTGTTTTTGTCGGAAGCAACGAAGTTGATAAAAAAAAATGTTAACATAAATATCTAGATCTAATTTCAATGACAAGAAGAATCTTCGGTTAAAGAAGCTTCCACCATGAACGTGCTAAAGGGGTCAGTCGGATTGTACATAGGGCTCTGAGAGGAACGAACAGGATGAAAAGAAATTTAGACAGGTTTGCGATTTGATCGTGAAAGAAGAGCCCAGAGACATCAAATCATGTTTGTGGGCGTGGGCCGAATTTTGATTAAATGGGTTAACCCTTTGGAATTACAATTAGGCCCAATTCACAGTTACCGTGTTGTCCACGGCCACACCTCTAGTACATAGTTGTTATGTTATTAAGAGCGAAATTTTAAAATATATATATATATATATACAAATCATGATTTTTTTTTCGTTCAATAATTCGAAATGGGCCGTTAATCGGCTATAAATGATCCTCTAACGTACCATAAAGGCATTAAATTTCAGCCCATAAATGGATCAGAAATGGTGGTCACAGGCCCAATGAACTCAATTCATGTCTAGGGGGTGCGTATATACATACATGCATATGTGTGTATGTAAATTCGGTGCGTCCAATCATCGTTAATATTTTTTTTCTTTTGATAACATAATCACAATATTTCATTTACAATATAATAACCATTGGTGAAAAATTTTCATTAACAAAGACATACAAAGCGAACAAAGTTCGTAGATAGAGAAAATACGGAACATAAATACCAAATTTGCAAAGCAGTGAATTTTAAGAAAGATGCGGGAAAAAGGGGAGGAGAAATAAATGAAGCGGTGAAGAGAGTGAAAGATTATAATATAAACGTGGTGGTGGGCCACGCGGTCGCGTGCTTACAGCTAATTTCGTTGGTGCAATATTTATGGACTTTTCAACTACTATATTATCTTTTTTTACAGTTTAATATGAACTTCGGGACAAGGACCAATCATTACATTTAACATTATTATATATAATGTACCTATTTACGTGTTCATCTACCGTGAAATGGTATTAATTAAATACTGCTAATGTTAGAGTCAATTGTATAAGAGATATCATGTTTTCAGCTAATACGGTAATACCCAATATCAAAGAGGAAAAAGGGTGTGTGTGTATATATATATAATGGGGCCATTTAATGAAAATTTAAATATCTGACATGGAATTTAAACATTGACACATTACATTATTATAGAGGTGAAAAACCAGTCACTGTATACACGCACACCCCACTGACTCTTGCATGAACAACTGAACTATTGTCCTTCATTTACTGCATTCAACGTCGTAACTACAAAGCCATATGCCCATTTATCTCTCTTTCCATGCAGCATTATCTCCACCGAAAGCCCAACCAAAAAAAAAAAAACACGAACACACAACAATGGAGTCAAGATTCTCACTTCTAATAACAATGGTGACTCTCTCTCCGTTCCTCGGCCCGGTCTGGCCAGCCGATCCAACCGTGGCTGCCGGACGATGGAAGATTCTGAGCCGAAACATCGGAATCTCGGCAATGCACATGGCGCTTCTACCGAACGACAAAGTCATTGTGTTCGACCGGACTGACTCCGGCCCGTCCAACATAACCGGACCTGTTCAGGGATGCCAAACCGACCAGGTATGTTACGCTCACTCGGTTGAGTTTGACCCGGTCAAACGAACGGTCCGACCTTTGACTATTTTGACCGACACGTGGTGCTCTTCCGGAGCGTTGTCGTCTGACGGCGAGTTGGTTCAGACCGGTGGTTACCGAACCGGAGAGAGAGTTGTGAGGTACTTTAGGCCCTGTCCTGATTGCGACTGGCATGAGGATCCCAACGGTTTGGTTTCTCCGAGATGGTACGGCACGAAATTCCACTAGACACGATACTAGACAAATTAGGAAGCCTTCTATTTGTATGCTTGTCTGTTACATGGTTCATGGATTTTTGTTATTCGACAGGTATGCCTCAAACCAGGTTTTGCCGGACGGTCGGATCATCGTGGTCGGCGGCAGGTTTCAGTTCTCGTACGAGTTCATACCGAAATCAGATACAAAGCTATACCAACTCCAATTCTTGAAGGAGACACTCTTCTCGGCCAAGATACCGAACAATCTCTACCCTTTTCTTCATCTTTCTCCTGACGGAAATCTCTTCATCTTCGCCGGCGATCGTGGAATATTACTCGATTACAACAAGGACGTAGTGATCCGAAACTACCCGGTTATGCCGGGTGGCATTTCTCGTAATTATCCGAGTACCGGATCCTCTGTTCTTCTTCCTCTGGTTCTCACTAGAGACAATGCCGAAAACCCGGTCGCCGAAATCTTAGTTTGCGGCGGAACCGAGCCGGAGGCGAACCGGAAAGCCGACGGAGGAATCTTCGTACCGGCGTCGAGGAGCTGTGGCAGGATGGTGATTAACTCGGAATCTCCGCAGTGGGAAATGGAGGAAATGCCTGTAGGCAGAGTAATGGGTGACATGATAACGTTACCGAACGGTGACGTTTTGATCGTGAACGGCGCCGCCAAGGGCTCGGCCGGTTGGGGAGTGGCGCGCGACCCGGTTCTGAACCCTGTTCTCTACCGGTTTAACCAAACCGGCTCCGGTTTATCGAGGTTCCAGGTGTTGAACCCGTCGGTTATCCCTCGGCTTTACCACTCGACGGCTCATTTGTTGTCCGACGGAAGAGTTTTGGTCGGAGGAAGCAACCCTAACGTCAATTACAATTTCACGGCGATGTATCCGACGGAGCTCAGCCTCGAGGCGTTTTACCCGCCGTATCTAACGGCTGACGCGCCTAGGCCCGTTATCACGGCGTTAAACCCGGACGTTAAATTGGCTTATAGACAGAGGATTCGCGTTGAGTTCAAGATCAAGAGACGTGAACTCGACGCGACGGTGGCTATAACGGTGGTTGCTCCGTCGTTTACGACACATTCGTTCGCTATGAACCAGAGGCTGCTGTTTTTGGCGTGCGGCGGAGCAAAGAGGAAGACTGCTGCGGCGGGGGACAGTTATTTCGCCGTGGAGTGCGATGCTCCGGCGACGTCCGCGGTGGCTCCGCCGGGATATTATCAGTTGTTCGTTGTCAGCGGCGGCGTTCCTAGTCGCGCCAAATGGATCCACATCAAATAGATTTGGGGGATAATTAAGGTGAACTTGTTAAATTTTAATAACGAACCTATTGGGTATGTATCATCATTGTGTTCAATTACTGAATTTATCAAACTGTATTTTTCGATCGCAATATCTAATCTTTTTTTTTCCTCGTTATCAATCAAAATCTTAAAGTTTCATTCGATGGACCCAATTCCCAAAACATCTCTCTGTCTATGTATATATGTATATAATTATATCTAAGATAAATATTGTTCTTCTGCCGTTTTATTTTTTTCTTTCCGAGTTACGACGAGAAGGTGATTATGATGGACCGTTAAATTGACCCAAAACTGGGTCAGTCAATGCAACATTTAAATGGGCCCATTTCCAATTTTAATTGGACCATATGTGTGGCCCAAAAAAGGCCCATTAAGACTGATCGGGTTTGTTTAAATGTCAGGTTTGTTTTACAAGACCGGGCCGATTGAACGGCTATAAATACCGACCTTTGCCGATTTGCCTCGCGGAAAGAGCCATTTTCCCTCTTGTTTCACTGTTTATCACCATCTCCCGCTCACTCTCTGTCTCTCTCCCGCCGGGAGGTCGCCGGAGTTTTCCGTTCCCCTCCGCCATAGCGTTGGAGCTACTACGTTATTGTGAGTTTCAATAATCTCTCCGGTTAGTTTCTGCGGATTTGTTCGTCTGACCCCTTTTCGATTTGTTAGTGTTCAATCTGGGATTGAACTCGTCTCCTTCTCTCTATTGTATTCTTCGATCTCTTTGTTCTTCACCCGTCACAGTTTTCTCTGGGTCTGTTTTATTTCGTAGTGTCAGGAAATCATGTAGATATTAACAAGTTTTATCCGTTTTTGCATTTCTAGGGTTTCATCGATATTTAGCGATTTTACCTGGCTGACCTTGAAGTTTGCCTGCTTATAGACTAGGTGCGTGACTTTCCTACGCTGATTCTTTCCCATCTGTAGAATTTAGTGGTGAGCACTCGGTCATATAGGGTTGAATTCGGTTTCAAGCTTCCAAACCCTAGATTGTTCCGCTTCGCTGTGTAGTCGTATGCTTCTTTACCCTCAGGATCTATAGGTATTTTTTTTAAGATAACGAACCAATGCTTGTAAAATCGATATTTCTCTTTGGGTTACCGTACATGGCTTGAGATTTTGCTGTTGGGAAGGTGGCAGATAGTTTCATATGGGTCCTATTGCTAGTTTGATGTTTTGATATTTGTTTAGGGTTTCTCGCTTTCATGTTTTTTCTGAGATCATTTGCTAGGCCTTGTAGAGAATTTAAAGATATTCTATTCACATGTAGTTTGGTGTTGAGAAAAGCTTTTGCACAGATTTTGTTATTCACAACGAGGCTAGATTCTGTTGTATGTTAAGTCTAATCTTTCTCATAACTATATTTCTTCTGCTGGAAATGGAAGGGGAAATTTTTGGGGTCAGTTTTTGGGTCTAACTGTTAGCCATTCTTTATATCTTCTGACATCTCTGAGTATTTTACTTTTTTGCCCAGGTAAGCCTCCTGCTTGTCTCTTTACATGGCAGATGTTCGAAATGGTAATGCACGGCCTCCTAATGGAGCGCCTGCAGGATCTGGAAGTGCCTATTCCATTGATGTCGCTAGTTTTACCTTACGTTTGAAATCCTTGTATGCTCACTGGGCTGAGCACAAGGCAGACCTTTGGGGATCTGCTGATGCTCTTGCCATAGCTACGCCTCCTGCCTCTGATGATCTGAGATACCTGAAATCGTCAGCGCTGAACATTTGGCTTCTAGGGTATGAATTTCCCGACACAATAATGGTTTTCACTATGAAGCAGATCCATTTCTTGTGTAGTATGAAGAAGGCATCTTTACTAGAAGTTGTGAAAAAGCCTGCTCGCAACGAATTGGATATAGATGTTTTTATGCATGTGAAACCTAAAGCTGATGATGGGACAGGGCAGATGGATGCTATATTTCATGCTATCCGAGGTCAGTCCAAGGCTGATTCCCCTATTGTAGGATACATAGCTCGTGAAGCCCCTGAAGGTAATCTTCTGGAGACATGGGCTGATAAACTAAAAAATGCTGACTTCCAGCTTGCAGATATCACCCCTGGGTTGTCTGATCTCTTTGCTGTCAAAGATGAAACTGAGATCATGAACGTGAAAAAGGCTGCTTACCTGACATACAATGTGATGAACAATGTTGTCATTCCTAAGCTTGAGAATGTTATTGATGACGAGAAAGAAGTCACTCACTCTTCCTTTATGGATTTGACTGAAAAAGCAATACTAGATCCGATTAAAGCCAAGGTGAAGCTAAGAGCTGAGAATGTTGATATATGTTATCCACCAATATTCCAGAGTGGAGGCGAGTTCGATCTCAGACCAAGTGCTGCAAGCAATGATGAATTGCTCTACTATGATTCAGCGAGTGTCATAATTTGTGCTGTTGGTGCTCGGTACAGTAGTTACTGCTCAAATATTGCCAGGACTTATCTGATAGATGGACATTCTCTGCAAATCAAGGCTTATGAGGTTCTTCTCAAAGCACACGATGCTGCCATTAGTGCATTGAAGCCAGGAACAAAGGTCAATTCGGCCTACCAAGCAGCCCTTGCCGTGGTTGAGAAGGAAGCTCCTGAGTTGGTTCCGAACCTTACAAAGTCTGCTGGGACTGGTATTGGTCTTGAGTTCCGTGAGTCGGGACTAAATATTAATGCAAAGAATGAAAAGGTGTTGAAACCTAAAATGGTATTCAACGTTTGTCTTGGTTTCCAGAATCTGCAGTGTGAGTCCGGTAACCGCAAGAACCAGAACTTCTCTCTCATGTTGGCAGACACTGTTATCGTGGGAGAAAAGGTTCCTGTTTTGACCTCTAAGTGCTCCAAAGCGTTAACAGATGTGTCATATTCCTTCAAAGAGGACGAAGAAGAACAGAAACCGAAGAAAAAATCTAAGGTCCTTGGTTCAGAGAACTTCATATCTAAGACAGCTCTTAGGTCAGATAACCAGGAGGTATCAAAAGAGGAGCTACGGAAACAGCACCAGGCCGAGCTTGCCCGCCAGAAGAACGAAGAAACTGCTCGAAGACTTGCTGGTGGTGGAAATGGGGCTGGAGACAATCGTGCTGCTTCTAAGAGTTCAACTGATTTAATCGCTTACAAGAATGTTAACGACCTGCCGCCACCTAGAGATTTTATGATCCAGGTTGATCAGAAGAACGAGGCTGTGTTATTACCCATATATGGTTGCATGGTCCCATTCCATGTGGCTACCATAAGAACAGTTTCGAGCCAGCAAGATACAAACCGCAACTGCTATATCCGTATCATCTTCAATGTGCCGGGTACGCCTTTCAACTCCCAGGATACAAACTTGTTGAAAAACCAGGGTGCCATCTACCTCAAGGAGGTGTCATTCCGGTCCAAGGATCCGAGGCACATCAGTGAAGTGGTTCAATTGATTAAGACCCTTAGACGGCAAGTCATGGCCCGCGAGTCAGAACGAGCTGAACGGGCCACATTGGTCACCCAGGAGAGACTCCAGCTTGCAGGCAACAAGTTCAAGCCTATAAGGCTGTCTGAGCTCTGGATCCGTCCTCCGTTTGGTGGTCGCAAGAAGATTCCCGGATCGTTGGAAGCTCATGTGAATGGTTTCAGGTATTCCACCACTAGACCTGACGAGCGTGTGGACATCATGTTTGGGAACATAAAACACGCATTCTTCCAGCCGGCCGAGAAGGAGATGATCACTCTCTTACATTTCCACTTGCACAATCACATCATGGTTGGAACCAAGAAAACGAAGGATGTTCAGTTTTACGTAGAGGTGATGGATGTTGTCCAGACGTTGGGAGGCGGGAAGAGATCAGCCTATGACCCGGACGAAATTGAAGAAGAACAGCGGGAGCGGGAGAGGAAGAACAAGATTAACATGGATTTTCAGAGTTTTGCGAACCGGGTTAATGATCTGTGGCAACAACCCCAGTTCAGAGGTCTGGATCTCGAGTTCGATCAACCTTTGAAAGAGCTCGGTTTCCATGGCGTCCCGCACAAGGCTTCTGCTTTTATCATCCCAAGCTCCAGCTGCCTCGTTGAGCTCATAGAATACCCGTTCCTTGTGGTCACGCTGGGTGAGATCGAGATTGTGAATCTCGAGAGAGTCGGGTTCGGGCAGAAGAACTTTGATATGGCCATCGTCTTCAAGGACTTCAAGAAAGATGTTCTCAGGATCGACTCGATCCCGACAAGCTCTCTCGACGGGATAAAGGAGTGGCTTGACACGACAGATATTAAGTACTACGAGAGCAAGCTGAATCTGAACTGGCGACAGATTCTGAAGACGATCACTGATGACCCGCAAAGCTTCATAGACGACGGGGGATGGGAGTTCCTGAACTTGGACGCCAGTGATTCGGAGTCCGACAACTCAGCAGAGTCGGACAAAGGGTATGAGCCGTCGGATGTGGAGGTGGAGTCGGACTCAGAGGACGAGGCTTCGGACAGCGAGTCGCTTGTGGAGTCGGAGGACGAGGAAGAGGAGGACTCGGAGGAAGATTCGGAGGAAGAGAAGGGAAAGACATGGGAAGAGCTGGAAAGGGAAGCGAGCAATGCAGATAGAGAGCAAGGGGATGAATCCGACAGCGAGGAAGAACGTAAGAGGAGGAAGATGAAAGCTTTCGGGAAGTCCCGAGCCGGACCCAGCGGAGGAATACCTAAACGCAGCAAGCTGAGGTAAGAGATTAGTGTTTAGTTTGTCTGAGTTTTTACTAGGGTTTAATCTATCTAAGAAGCTCTATTAGATTTTGGATAGATTATTAGATCCCCCCCCTCTGTTATATCTTTTGGTATGAAGTACGAACTGATGATGTATGAAATCTGTCGGTGGTTTCCACACTTTATATTCTCAGAATCGGTTCGGATTCCTTCGTTTCAGATCTCTCAGTTTTGTGGACATGTACGATGATGTGTGTAGTCGTATTGTTGTTCTTTACACCAAAGAGTGAAGGTGAATCTCAACTTTGTTGTTATTATTGATTATCATACATATTTAACTAAATTAATCACCGCCATCGTAATTAACTGACAAGAAATCTATAAAATAATAAACTTAAATGACAAATTTTTGTATTGTATTCATAAAAAAGGCAGAAAATACACATATACAATTATAAATGTTGAAGAATGTTTATTTTAATTGACGCTTTCATCTCTCTTCCTTTTTCTCTTCTTTTACAAATATCATCAAATCTCAATCTCACAATAACAACTTAAGCCCAATTCAAGAATTACTAGTTCTTAAATTGTTTTATATCCCCTCGAAAAGGGTTCGTTTATATATATATATATATATATTTGAAAAACCCCTTTATATAATTGATCACAATTATTAAAAATGTAAAAATCAAACTCCATTCCAAATCTCCTCGAGCTCTCTGGCAAAGGCTTTCTGCCGGCCGACAACAATGGTGATGTGATCTTTGTTCTCAACGACCTTGACCTTAGCACGTGGAACACGACGTTGAACGTCGAAGCTGCATTCCAAAGGGATGACTTCGTCGTCTCTGCCGTGGAAGATGGTGACGTGGCAATCGAGTTTGTCTCGCACGATGTCCAAATACGTATGGAGTTTGCTCCCTGTTCCACATATGATGTTGTGTAACGTGTGCCATGCCGCGTTGTGCGTGTGGCAGAAGAAGCCTTCCATTAAAAAAGTCCTTATCCTGCATTATTCACTCTCATCTCAAATCACATTTTTTTATTTTGATTTAAGAAGATAATATATCGAATTATTTATTAGATTCTGAAATATTCACTAACTTAGTTGATCATCAAAATTAAAAACGTTAGAATGTTCAGTAATTTTCGTAAAAAATCGTGTTAAAATAAGTTGGAAAATGTGATGTGATTACACTAACATAGTTAGAAATAGATTTTTTTTTTCAATTGTGAAATTAAATATTTTACAAATATAGGGGAGGATATGATGCAAAACTAAAATGAATGTAAAAGAAGAATTCGTGCGATCGATATCAAATAAACTTGGGATTAATAATGTTGTTGAAATTAAATATTTTACTTTTAAAATGCAAATAATAAATCAATTTTAAATCATCTTAATTTAAAATAATATCCATAATATAGATGAAATGGAAAAAGATTAAAACCATCAAATATTTATACAAATAAAAATAAAAAAGGTTTCTAATATAAAAAATACTATTTGAATTGTTCTTTTTTGTCTTTTTTATTTATTAATAAAATATGTTTTAGGGATAATTCTATTCAAGCATTGACTGACCATATCAATTGTTATCTTTTGGTAAACAATAACTCTAGCCCATAATTTTCCTAACCACAAAGAGGGATTTTTCCTACGTGTTACGCTAAATCGGAGGCTAATAGTTACTCTAGTTTCTCCTTTTCTTCTTATTAACTTTATAATTTTCTAGGGTTGCAAAACATCATCATCTCTATAACCATTTATGTTATATTTAGAAACCTGTAAAATAAAAACCATAGGATAGTGTTATACCATATGTAGATATATATATAGGTATATATGTCGATTTATATTTCCATATGGGGTTTCTCAAAACAACGTATACCTGAAAAACTTAAAATTTCAAATGTTTCTAAAATCATAGGTGGGTTTGGTGTCTATGTAGGTAGCCTAATTAAGTACTCTTTACTCTTTCCCCATTAGCTTTCCAAATAAATCGAGACACCTAATTTCACGGCAAAACTCGTCACGGACGATATTTATTTCACGTAACCTTAATGGTCCGTTATGTATATATATGTGTATATATATTATCCATGCATTTTCAAATCTTGTTGCGATATACAACATATATATACACACACACTCACGATAAGACCTCGACGACTCCGAAAGCTTTTTGGTCAGTGGTGCGACTAAGCCAATAACTAGACATCAATTGCATTAAATTCGTAGATTTCAGCAGTCACTAGTGGTTGGTCCATGGCAAAATATCAGGGCTTAATCAATTTAAATGTGTGTGTTAATATAGTTAGGTAGGTTTTGAAAATGTGGTTAGGTGGTTAAATAATACTAAGAGTGTGTACCTGTTACGTGTGATGAGTTTGGCGAGAAATTCCCATAGACGGTGGTTCTTGCAGATGAGCAAACAAATGGTACGGCTGATGTGTTCGTACCAGCACGCCATCGAAGCCCCGAACGATATCGGCGGCCACACCCTTCTCGGCGCCACCTTCCTCATCACGTACTGCGTCGGCTCGGCCTCTTCCTTTGGCACCGGATAATACGGCTGCAATATACGTGTACATACGTACAATCAATATTCTATATATGCATCTGTCAATATTACTAGTCACCTATAGTTTAAACACTAACATGCAAAATTATAAGAGTATGCTTAAATAATCATAATCATGGTCATATAACCTGTATGGATAATAATACTTGTTTTGGATGTTCATCAAAACGAAGCAATTAATGCTTACGTCCAATTTTATATCAAAACCTGTGTAAGGCGAACTTTTTTTTTGTAACATTATATATATATATATATATATATATATATATATATATATGAAGTTTGTACAAGACTGGTTTAGGTATATTTCATGAACGAAAGAGATAGATGACAACGTAGTTTTTGGATTGATTTATCAATTCATGAAAATCTTGGTGTGATGTGAAACGTTTTAGTCACCTTGATTGGACATCAAGAACCTCTTATGAAATGGTCCGTACGTATGATAATGATATTTATGAAATGCTTTGTACTAATATGTATATACACATTCATATTCATTGGTTGGTCGTACCTTACCAATAGACTAATTCTCACCCCCCTATGCAAGTTGTAAAACGTTTTGTTTTGTATCGATTTCATTCGGCATACATACGTACGCATTCGTTTTCGGGATTTCTATGAGATATACGGAACTTACCGGGGCCAAGAGGGTGAGCGACTTGACTGAGCCACCGTGTCGGACAGCGAGGCCGAGAGCCAAAATGCAGCCCAAGGAATGAGCGACGACGTGAAAAGACTTCACGTTGTATTTTTGTAAAACCGATTTCTCGATCATCTCCAGATGCTCCCTTAGCGTGTAGAGTGAGTCCGCAGGCTTAGGGCTCTTCCCAAACCCTAAAAGATCTACAGCGAATAGTCTATAATTCGCCTTGGCCGAACTCGACAAGTTCGAGAAAACCGTCTCCGACCAGAACGCTGAAGAAGATATGAAACCGTGGATGAACAACACGTCCTCTTTCGCCGTATTTCCTGTCTCAACCAATCAAAACCGCCGCAAAATGTTTTTTTTTTTTGTAAAAAAGTAAATGTAACTGCCGCAAAATGTTCATACGTGTTCAAATATTAAAGATTCAAAATATGTGTAGTAACGAAGATTTTGTGTGAACTTTATAAAGGTGCGAACTTTATTACCTTTCGGGATTTGAGTTTTGACAAAGAGAGATTGATCTTTGCGACAACTTGAGGCCCAACAAGTGCAAAACCCGCAATCGCAATCCGACCACCTCGAGACCGGATTCAGATTCTGCGGTCGGATCTTTCCTTGAAGCATTTCGACTACCGTGAAGTTCACGGTCAACCTCTTCCCTCTTCCTTTCTTCCTCGCCTTCTCGTGATCAGCGTATTCTGACCGAACCTTAGGCAACCGTTTGCTCAGCTCGTCAACCGAGAGCTTCGAGAGCTCGGATATAAGAGAGGCACGGGAATAGAGAGTGTCGGAGATTTCCTCGAGCTGAATCTTGGATCGTGAACTATACATATACGCAGTTAATACGCCATGTAAATTATATTTTTGTCAATCATGGAACCGGTGAAAAAATCATCAATCATGACATAGATTAAAGTAAAATGGGAAGACAGAGGGAAGAAGGGTCTGCACAAAATTTTAAAAACCGATTCAAATTACATGATTTCCATGCAAAATTGCATAAAACTAAAAACCTACCATATATATTTCCTCTTTGTAGAGGTGAAAGTGAGAATCTTGATCCATCTTGTTTCGGGTCCACAAGAAACTAATACAAATTTGCGTCGGTTTTTGTACGAACAAGCACGGATTTGTCACGACTGTAATCAGAAAGATCGATGCAAAATTTTTTTTTAAAAAAAAAATACCTGAGTTCTTGGGGAGGAGAAAGGGTGAGAATGTTGGATTCGCCATTGTTGTGGGAAACAAGGATTTTGCCACGAGTGGTGGTGATGGGTTCCTTGGCCGACAAGCAATAGCAAGGCTTCCATTCTGCTTCGAGCAGATAATCCGCAGCTTTGTAGAGGAGACAGAGCAAGCAATCTATTATGTCCAACACACAGAACACGACCAAACTCACTGTCTCATTCAGAAACCTCCCCAGCACTGTCACCGCCCATCTTGTCTTGCTCATCATCATCATCATCATCATCGTCGCAGCCATGCATGAACAGTTCTCTCTCTCTCTCTCTCTCTGAGAGTTGAAGAAGAGAAAGAATCGCAAAGAAAGAAAGTATATGGGAGAGTACTTGTTTTTTGATGCGCCATATATATAGAGGATACGCTATATATTATGATATATGGAGAGAGGAAAGAGGTTAAAGAAACCGAAAAATCACATGTGGATGCGATTTATTTCAGGACATTCTGAAATGGGTTGTCGAAAATTCCATGGGATTCGATCTGTAGGATGGCGACTTTTGCTAATATCATATCCGAAGGTTCGATAGCGAAAGCGTGCAAGAGAGCTATGACTTCAAGAAACTCGCCGATCAACGTTGGTTGTAAAACAATGTGGAAAATATCTTCTTTTTTTATTTTTTATAACAAAATCCTTTGTTCATACTAGATTCGCATATAGGATAGCACCTATATATATATATATATATATGTATATGTGTGTGTATATTGAAAGAATAAATCATTTACCTTTGTTTCGCAAAAAAAAAAAAAAAAAAAAAATACAACCGTTTTGAATATTGAATTGCATCGCACTGAAAACTTACCTTAAATATTAAAGTCTTATAAGCAGAAACAAAACTATTGAAATTTTTAGATTTCAAAGGCAATATATAAATCCGAGTTTAACGATCTATTTAAATAATTACAATATAGTATCTATCAAATGTTAATAACTGTATATTCATATACGTGGGTGCTGATGGCCCTGTGGTTTCTTTCACATGTTGTCAGAAGCTCCGCGTTTAGTATTAGATATTTCAGGTTTCAATAATGTTTTTTTGGTTTTCATTTTTTATTTTTAAATTTATCCTCATTTACTTTTAACATCGTTTCAAATTTCAAGTTTGTTCGGATTTGATTTGGGTTTTAATTTTATTAAAAATAATAATTATTTTATAAACAGATTTTAGGTTCATTATAAAACTTTCATTATTTTTATGATTGGGTTATATCCATATGATTTGTAACTGGGTGGGCTTAAATTACGGTAAAAATACATGTTGTTACTTAAAACCCAATTGAATTTAATTTCGTATATAAAAATTTATTAAACTATAACTTTGGCCAAACATCTATTAATCGATTTGGATTAATTTAATCATTATTAATACACAATTTATATGCGGGAATGTTGGGTGTAGATCTTGTTGATTAGTCCAAGCAAAGTTTTCAACACCACAATACATTTCCTTTGAAATAACTATAATGACCATGTGTTAATACAAATGGACATATATGTAAATTTATACATACATATATATATATATATACTGTGTACAAAGTTGAATATAACTTATATAAAATTGCGGATTATCCGTGTTTTTTAATTGTTCGAAAATCTCTCAATTAATTTTACGTTGAATAATAAACGAACAAAATAAATATTACGGGCTATCGCCAAAAAAAACTTGTACTCTTTTTCGGTCAACGAAAAACCCTTTTGCTTTTTTGTTTACTAATTAAACTCTATATTTGGTGTGATTAACTCATAAAACCCCGAACTTTTTTAAAATTCGCCAAAAATTCTCCCGTCTATCAACTCAAACAAAAATGATGATGTGACAATGACATGACTTTCAAATCATGACCACATCATCATATTTATGTCGCATCATCATTTCAAACAAAATTTAAATTAAATAAATTATTTAAATTAACATATAAATTCACATATACATATATATATTAGAAATAAAATTATTTGTAATTAATAAGACACATATACACATAACTACACTATATATGTATATTATAACTAATACATATATATATATATTAAAATAAAAATAATTATAAATAATTTTATATACATACACAATATACATATTAAAATAAAAATAATTATAACTAACATATATACATATAACATATCTATTAAAAATAATATGTATATCTATATATATTAGTTATATATGCAACACATATATACAACTAATATGTATATTAAAATAAAAATAATTATAACTAACATATATACATATAACATATCTATTAAAAATAATATATATATGATTTTTTCGTTGACTTAGAAAGATTATATGAATTTTTTTGGCCATTTAATATTAAAGCAAAGATTACCAATAAACAAAAGTTTTTTTTTAAAAAAAAAGTTAGGGATTGTCTCATTAAACGCCCAAGGGGATGGGGTAGGTAGTAGTTGAACCATCCTGTTAATAGAAAAAGGAAAACAAATTTTATCCATGCACTTGGCATCCCCATTAACGTACGAATAACCTTTTCCATATATATATATATATATATATATATAATGATTTCGTACATAAATATAATTTCTTGTTTCTATGAAACTCACTAATCCAATTTTTCTTATCTAACTCATTACACACACACACTAATTTAGTGTTTCCCTAATTTAGTTAGATATTTAATAAATGTCACACTTGTTTATATATGCAATTTGACGATTCAATAAATATTATTATTTTCATATTTTAGAAATCATTCCAACAAGTGCTTGTATAAAAGAAACATAGACTAGACTTCAAATAGTTACCTCCCATTAGATTGGGTTTTAGAGGCACTTAATTGAGCTAGTTTATCAAATAAATTTTAGATTAATATTGTTTATCATTCATTTTGATGAGGTTTTATCGTTCGACCATTAAAAATATTGGTTATCATAGTCATGCACTAAATTGATGGGAAAAGCGTGATAATTAAATGGATTATATAAATCTCGTCGTGTGATGTTACATGCATGCAGTCTCTGTATTGGTATTTATTTCTATATCTTGAGTTTGAAGTAATAAATGATTAATTTGAAAAAAAGCAAATACTTTCACATGGATCTTGCATTTATTATATATATATATATAATACGTTTGTCACTTCTGTAGACCCACGAGAATTCGGTGCTTAATAGTCCACGAACGTTCATTTTATTTTATTTTATTTTGATAATCCGAAAGTTCACCGGACCTTTTGATCCGACTACATCTCCCACAAGACCGGGGAAGTCTATGTGAATGCCCCACGTTTGGGTTTAAACCCAGGGTGAGAACATGTAAACACCATAAGGTAACTCAAGCTTGGGTCGTTCATTTTATTTTATCACTAATTATGTGATTTTTTGGAAGGTGCATTAATCATTTCCATATATACCAAAGTTGCTTTGGTGGAAGAGTATAGCGACTTTGGATTCCTCGTCTGTTGTGGGGCAAATAACATGGGCTCTTTATACAACATTCCGTAGCTCCCTATATAATTGTTCGGCAAAATCGATGCATTATATTTTCTTGAAAAATAATCATACAAACACATATAGATATATATGAGCTGTGTCCGTTTCCCTATTCGGTTCGGGTCGGGAATGATTCGGTTGGATCCTTTCGGTTTTATAAGAATAGGTACCAATCAATTATTATATTATATTCAATTCATTTCAATTTCTGTTTCTGTTAGATTCGGTTCTGGTTTTTTATTAAAAAAATAGTTCTTTTTTAAAAAATTGATTTTTTTAGTTTTTTTTATAAAAAAATTTGGACCGGAACCGAACGGAGCTGAAACCGAAATTGAAATGAACTGAATATAATATAATAATTGATTGGTATATATTTTTATAAAACCGAAAGAATCCAATTGAATCATTCCCGACCCGATTCGGGTCCGGTCCAAACACATACAGTATTTTATAAAAATTAGTATTAATTTCGTGAGTGGCTCGAATAAAATAAAACTAGCAACTTTTATTTGTTATTAATACACACTAAACACACGCGATTTATTTGGTCTTTAACTTAAGTCGGAAGTTTATAATAATGGTATGCAAATCCCTAGACCTATAGTATTGTATATATATGGCATGAATAAAACAAGATGAAGGCAAACCCTACCTAGCTAATTTTTCAGGCGGTGACATAACAAGGGTCGTCGATTAATAAATCTCGATCCCAATATTAGATTGGTATGAACATGACGTTTTAGCAAACATATGGACGAAATTAATCGCGTTGGTGTATACATTTTAGAAATTCTATTTAACAATATCTTCGTTGCTTGTTATAATTAATAGAAATTCAAATCCAAAAAAATAAATCACATTTTGACATCATAACAAAAAATTGTTCTTTAATACCGTGTATTTTTTGTTACCAATAGTAAAAATATATAGCCATCGAAATTAATAATTAATATTACATGATAATATATAATTACATATATAATAACAAGCAATGTCGTCCATGTTGAGAAACGGAAGAGTTAATGAGTGGTGTTGACGTATACACGGCAATAAAATCTAAATGATTTAATACTACTAATAGTGATAATTAATAAAAAGATTAGCGGTTATGGTTGTTGTGCCATTGATCACTTACGAATGCAATTAATGCCGAAATGTGAAAACACGAATGATAAAAACGAACATTAAGGATATTATGTGTTTTATTTTTATATATTTCGGCATAATAAGGCTATGTATAGTAAGATTTTTTTTTATTATTATGTGTTCATATTATATATATATATATATATATATATTATGCTGTGGTTAAAAATCTGATCCATATTTATGTGGCGTACAGGATCCAGTCTTCGTCCATGGTATACAAGTGGTACACACACAATGCAGAGAACCAAAGAACACAGCAAAGCATTTAAGATTCAGACAATGTCTCCTTGCCTAGAAATTAGAATCAAGTCAACGCAACGTTGACTTGGATGGCCCAGTGCAGAAGGTCAATTCTCGGTCCATGGTTTTTTTGCTCAAATATGATATATATATATATATATATATATATATATTGTGTTAAAGATTTGTTTACTCATATATATGTGTCATTACGCTAAACTATGCGTGCTGTAGTCTTAAATAAAATAAAATAAAATATCATTCATAAAGAAATAATATGAGATATAAAAAAGAGAGTTCTATAAATCTTCATTAAAATTTTGCAGTTAATTGTAACTGGCCCGTCGTTTATTCTGTTACATTATTATTATTATTATTATTACTGATGCTCATATATATATATATATATATATATATATATAGTGTTAAATGTTCGTGATATATCCACCAAACCGAGTATTTCATGGTATAATCTCAGTATTTTCTGAACAACATTCATGTATCATAACATCGAAATTATGTCACAAATCAGATACATTTATGACACGTGTGCAAATATGTCTAACATTTTCATTACACAAATTTATTTCCCACATCAATCTGATTTGAATGCTTATATCTGTTTAAATAATATGAAATTTATTATCAACAAGCAAATATAATTTTCTAACGATGGATATTAGGTTTGGGCCCATAAACGGGCTGATTTTTCCCATAGTTAGCCTCAATATCGGGCCTATAGAATATTGTTGGGTTCAACGCGCGTGCATTTATTTACACGCGTGTACACGCGCGCGATGCTTAGTTTTCACCAAATGTCAACGGCTAGAAACTGGAAGATTGGGAGGGAAATCGGAGAAGCTGTGATCAAAGCGTCGAGAAACCCTAATCGGAGATGGTACGGGCCTCACATGGCGGCCGCAGCTCGGGCCATTTCCGATCGTATCCCATTGGTCGATTTCGTTCTTGAGATCAGAGACTCTCGTGTTCGTTTCCGCTGCCCTTTTTTCGTTTTCCGGGTTTTCCTTTTCCCACCAAGTGTTTGGTTAAATGTCTCACAGAGACCAAGTTCACGTTTTTGTCCGATGATGTAACTCCCCATCTTGCAGATTCCTTTTTCGTCTGAGTACGAGTTGTTGAGAAAGTTTACTGCTTTTTCCTTGAGAAGAATCATTGTGTTGAACAAGATGGAGCTGGCAGATTCTTTCGGATTGAAGGAGTCCATGGATTACTTTGAGCGGCGAAACTGTCCCTCCTATGCAGTGAACTCGCATAACAAAGAATGTGTCAAGCAAGTAACATTTCCCCCCTTCTAGTTCTCTGTATTTTTGGATATCTTGATGGGTCAGCAACTAAGGCTTGTTGCTTGTTTTGCAGTTTCTCAACTTTTTGCATAGTAAAGTTAGGGAACTGCACAAGAGTGGCCATACAAATCATACCACAACGTTCATGCTTCTCGGGATTCCTAACGTTGGGAAGTCTGCTCTTGCCAATGCTCTGCATCAGATTGGGAGGATTAGCGCTGCGGGTATATATTATCTCCTCAATTTAGCATTGCTTATCGATGAAATATCAGCTTTTTACAATCAAGCCACCATTCTTTGCATGCTCACATTTCCAGAAAAAGGAAAGCTGAAGCATACAGTAGTCAGTTCGGAACCGGGAAATACTAAAGACATTACCAGCTTGAAGGTGTGCCCTTATTTTGTCAGCATCTATGAGATATGTTGCTCAGAGGAAAAAAAACTGTCTTAGAAGGCTGCTGAATTCCTTACTTCAAAATGCTAGTTCTAGTTCATAAAATTTACCCACGGACTTGGCAAATTGAGTTTCCATGTGTGTTTATGTTCAATGATACACGCATGCTTGAGCTTATATGTCCTTTAGTTGACTTAGATTTCAATATAAGTGTTGAACATGTTGCTGTCAGTAATGTTAAAAGTGAAGAATCTTCATTTTTTTCAGATCGGTAGTCGTCCAAACATCTATGTATTGGACACACCAGGCATTTTGCCTCCTAACCTTCAAGATGCTGAGATCTGCTCAAAGCTGGCGTTGACAGGTTTGACTGTCTCCAAACTCAAACGAATTGTTTGTGTTTTACCCTTAAGTATATCGTAATTCCCATTCTGCATGAAATCGAACATAACGGTTTATTTTGCCAAAATGCAGGAGCCATCAGGGATGATCTAGTTGGGGAGATAGAACTAGCACAGTTCTTTCTGACTGTTCTCAACTCGGGTCATGAATACAAGAGATGGGCAAAACTCTGCAAGTCTGAGGATGAAACAGAACATCTTAACAATGGCACCCCCAAGTTGGATACTATGAATAAGAGGCAATACCCCACAGATCATACGCAGGTGTTCAGCCACTCGGAATTATCATTTGCGCCTAATCTAGTTTCTTGAATGTCTTCGATAAATCTATTTTTCTATTTGTTTCTCCATTTGCAGGATTTCATAGTCCGTGATGTCCGTAGGGTTCTGTATCAAACCATATCAGCATTCGATGGAAATTTAGAAGACGAGATTGACATGGAAAATCTTGTGAAGTCTCAATTCGCAGCGTTAAGAACCGTTCTTAGGGTTTCTGCCGAGGCAGGTGAGTATGCTGATCTCATAGTTGCTTCCAAGTTACTGAATCTATATAGAACTGGTAGACTTGGACAGTACACATTGGAACATGTTTGAATGTCTCTGCTGTATCTAAAACATGATTAGCTTGTTGTAATGATTTGTTGATTGAGTTTTGCATGGGTGTCTGACCTCCAATTAATGACGAGTTTAACGAACGGTAATTATTATTAGTCTGGTACATTAGTATGTATGGGGGGGGGTGATTCTGTTTTTGGGTGTGCTGAGTAAATAACGAAAAGTTATGGGGTTGAAAAGGTGAATTAGGGAAAG